ATGAGTTTACATAGTCAGAAAAAGAACCCTATATACTAATAGATACTGACACAGCTTAATAACAATTACTCTTTGTCAAACAAAACTATCAGTCATATTAAGAACTCAAAAAACGAAGATGTTGATATCAATACAGAAGCAGAGAATAATAGTAAATAACATTCATGAAACGCAAATATCGGCAATATCATTTCTGGACTTTATAAACACATTGTCATGTATGGGTATGAGTATGAACACGGCATTCGAGTCTCCTCGTTACACACATCATACTTACTATCGACATGCAAATCTACACTTACACCCATGGATAGGCATGTACCGAGCTTTTTTTCGTTACTTTCAAACACTTTCAGTTCAAAACCTTGAGCTCTTAAGTGAAAAGCTGAATCATGAGGCCCAACTTATCAAAAGATAGACCAAACATCGCTCCAGAAAATGAGACATACCCAAGCCCTGTGCAACGACGCCTTCAGTTTTTATAAGAATTTTACAAACAGACCCGGACCGAGCCTGACCGAGCCCGAGCCCCGAGCCTAGGCTCGGTTTGTAAAATTCCTATAAAAACCGAAGGCATTATTGCACAGAGCTTAGATATGTCTCATTTTGCAGAACGATGTTTGGTCTATCTTTTGATAGGTTAGACCTCATGATTCAGTCTTTCATTTCAAAGCTCAAGATGTTAATATAAAAGTGTTCGAAAGTAATAAAAAAAAGCTCGGTACATGCCTACCCATGGATGGCATTAGCTCAGCTTTTTGGGAGCAACAATAAACTTTAAGAGGAAACTGTTCTAAATAGAGGTGTAAGCCATCGACTTCAGCAAAATCGGCTGACGGCTTACACCTTTAGTCCCAAATCCTCTCCCCCTGAGTGTCCACCAAGGCTCGAAATGAGCCGCCCGGTCCAATCAATTCTTTTTGCTGGGCCGGGCGGGCCACTTTTTTTGTCGGACTGGGTCGGCCCGATACTTATATGTTATTTTTTTGTTTTTACTATCAACTTTGCTTTTTTTTTTAAAATTAGACATCTTCGAAAACGTTTTAGGGGACAAAAAACATGTAAGTTTCATGCCTGATTAATCTGATAAATAGTTGACATTAATTGAACTCATCTTTTCTCTCGTTTACATGCAATATTCTACAATACATAAACTGTGTTAAATAGCGTGAGAAAGTAATTAATAGAAATAATGTGTCGAACATATATCGTTATCGATAGCTGGCCTCCCACGAAGGATTCGTGAAAAAAGAGGATCAATGTAAAAATAAGAAAGAGTACAAGTATGAGGCTCTTATTTCAGCCCTCAAAATCATAAAAAACACTCAAAGTGAAGGGAAAACTCCAACATCACCGAACTGATCCCTTATTAATGTCTGTTTGCCATTGGCTTTAAATATAATCATGTTTCGCTATATTATAACTGAATTAGGGATATCAATCAGTCTATCGAAGTTCTTTTCATTCTTTACTGCCCGCATGGGACGTTGTAAAAGTCGATTGAAGTTCAATCCATTACTTGTCATCATCTTTCACTGAGTTTGCCTATCTTGTTGAAACTTAGTTCCGTTTTAGTTGCTTTTCTATCTAAGGTAATTGCATATAGTATTTTCATAGGTCTAGCGTTTTCTTGATGTGAAAAAGAAAAACAAGAAAAAGAAACCAGTGTTCACAATCATACATGAGCTTACTACTGCTGAATAAATTTGTCTATGCTAAGTTTTTCTCTGTACACTTTACTTTTTGATAAAAAAGAGGGTAAAAAGAGGAGTTCAAAAACAAAGGAGAAAAAAGAGGTGGAGTGGGTGGTCAGCAATAGTAGAAACTGTAAATAAACACTATCTCTAATTCTTCAACTTTTATTAAAGAGGAATTTCATGGCAAACATATCAGTTACTGGAAAAAGGCAATATTTGGAATTTTGAGCTGCTTTTCTAAGCGAAGGTTTTCCTGATTTCGATCATAAAGAGACTTAGTATGTAGTAGAAAATAATTAATCAACATGCTAAAAATCCTTAACATTCAAAGTTAAAAGGTTCACCTCTAAATTGGAGGCATCGATAAGTTTTTCCTTCCTTTTTTATCGGCTATTCTCGATTACGAGCTAGTTTCTTGAATGATCAAAACTGAAAAAACGTTTTTACTCAGAAATAGAGTAATTTTCATGAGTAAAACTAAGTCGAAAGTGTGCCATAGGATATCGAGCAATTTATAACCGCCATTACTGACTTTGAGTAGCTTACAGTGTATTATCTTTAGACTAAATAAAAAATTCAACTTATCAGATTAATTTTATTTCAATTTCGAGAATCTTAGAAAATCGAACTGAAGATATCATCAATCCATTGGTATTTTGTATCCTGACCGTAACCGAATTGGTTTCCTAAATTTTTTGAGAAAAAGAATTTCGTAAACAAAACTTTGCTCGGACCTCGTTTTCATGGTCCATTTCGAGCCCTGGTATTTGTGCAACAGCTATCAATGATATTCGTCATTTTCTTCATCAATTTATCTACTCCAAAATTGGAAATGCATAGACACTTATTTACACATAGTGACAACTAATCATGCATCAATTCTATTGTATCATTGACTGTTCGATTGAAGTCAATTTTATCGACAACGAAGTCAGAGAACAAGACATAAACTGAAATTCATACATAGTTTTTATCATGTTAGCTAGAGGTATGGCCATGAATTTCGATCCTTTTCATCACTAAATACATGGAGAGAGAAAGGTGACTGTTGGACAGTAGTATGTAAGAGAGAGATGTTGTGAATATATGCACAGCAATTGAATTATTTCTAATTATTGAGAGTTATTAGGACAGAAATCCTATCATCGACATGCTTCGAAAGTTGCGTCCTTTGCTGCTCTTGATTATTTAGGGACGGAGTAAAACCAATAAAGCGCATTGAATTTTCCACAGAAACAGAAACTAATGAATTGGGTTTAGCTAATAAACGGGCCAACTCAAGACAATGTTGAATTTTGACCCTAGCTATCTTAATTGAAAAAGAAGTGTTTCTAAATATCTGCTTAATATCTGTTCAATCAACGGTAGAAAAACAAGCAACTAACATACAACAGAGGCTCATGAAAGAATGTGTCGACGTATTGTATTAAAAAATTCCGAAGAGAATTAGAAAAAATGAATTAACATCACCAGTGTATTCTCTTTTGCCAGATTTTATATTCAATTTCAATATGAAATAGATTATCATAATATTAGCGATGGTAAGTCTAACAAATAGTACTTGTCAGAAACGCATAGCCATGATACAAGCCAATATGATGAAGAATTACAAAGCAAAATGTCACAACGAACAAACGGAAGTATGAAAGTTGCTAGCGGGTAAAATTCGTTCAAATCACTGTCCCAGAATATATCAGCCTCTCGGAATATTACCAATATTTCCACAGATTTGCATTCTTTTGACTAGGATTTTGTACCAACATATTCCTGATTCAATACTCTAGAATTCTGTAAAAAATGCTTTCGTATCATGATTAATAGGGAAACATTCTGCGCTGAACACTACAGAATGCTAAAATAACAGGTATTCTAAGANGTCATCGAGTAAAAATTAGCACTTGACCCCGACATACTGAATTTTTCAAAAGTTTTTTGAAAAGTATTTGCTGTCCGGATTCGTTATTTTACTTGAGTTGGGTCTAAAAATGGTTGAGTTGGATTCAGTATGAAATTCGGCAGGGAATGATATCGATTTAGTATGGGATCATCGGGAAAAATTTTTTCATATGGGTGGGGGTTAGCATGAGGGGGTGTGGGTGGGTGAGGTGAAAAATTTTTGCTCGATGACCCCATAATAAATCGATATCATTCGATGCAAAATTTCATGCTGAATCCAACTTGACCATTTTAAGATCCAACTCAAGTAAAATAGCGAATCCGGACAGCAAAAACTCGAATCTGGTGCTAACTTTACCCACGTCAAAAAAAGCAACAAACTTCAAGTTTTATATCATGATCAATCTTTTATAATAGTAGATTTTAGTGAAAAGAAGTGGGTAAGACAGCACATTTGTCAATAATAATAAATTTAACATGCCTATTAGATAAAAGTATGTGCTTCTTACGAATATCAAGTGATGGACAAAAGTAAAATAACAATGTTTTTTGCTATAATGTTAAGCACCGAGATCAAATTCAAATAGTGATTTTAATAGACAATGACATTTTCCATCTAATGCATTATATATACTAGATGAAATATGATGGCAAAGTTTTCAAAAAAAAAATCGGACAAAGTATTTTTCAGGTTCAAGAATCTACCTTTTCTAAGAATGCTATTTGAAAGAGAACAAAATGAGAGACTGCTACGTTTTAAATGACCTTCCCTCAAACAGACTAAAAAAAAGTCTTGTTTCAGTTTTTGTAATGCTTTCAAGTTTTTAAAACATGGTCATTGAAAATGTAGCAATCTTTCATTTTGTTCTTTTTCAAATAGCATTCTTAGAAAATCGCTTGTTGAACCTGAAGACAATTGTGCCCAATTTTTTTTTTAGAAATCTTGTCATAGTAATTCATCGAGTATAAAATACATTCGATAGAAAACTCTATTGGCTATTAAAATTAATATCTGGATTTAAGCTATGTGCTCAACATCATGCAAAGTGGAGATGCAGCCATGTTACATATCTGATATTCAAAATAAAACTTTGTTTGTTAATAGATTTCGATTAGAAAAATGGTATTTTTGTTTTGTTCTCATCTGCATATTTAGATCAGCTAGACGTATTTGCAATTTGTTGTCCTCGTCACATCTGTTGTTGAAGGTAAAACGCCATTCTTTTTCTTGATCATATATATATATTGGGATTGAAGATAAATATTAATGCGAATATACTTCAAACAAAATGTTTTAATGAAATAAAAGAGACCTTTTTTCTCTATCTCTAATCTTACTATTGTATTTTGATATTCTTGTATATAAATATCTTTCTTTTGTTATTGTTAAAAAAAACAAGATTAGACATGATGTCCTTACTGTCACAGTCGTTATTGGTTCTTTATTTTTTTCAAACTTTTATAAATGTATGTGGATGGGGACCTGTTGGTCATCATATAATCGTACGTCTTAGTCAAAGTCAATTAATTGATTCAACATCAGAATGGATTCGATCTCTTACTCCTTGGCATTGGAATGGAAATTTAAGTGCAATGGCATCATGGGCTGATGATGTACTTTATCCAGATACAAATCCTACTGGTTATGGTAATTGGCAATGGTCTCGAGAATTACATTATGTCAATATACCTGATTGGATTTGTGAATATAAACCAGAACGAGATTGTATTAATGATAAATGTATTGTTGGTGCAATAAAAAATTATACAAAACGTTTAGAAACTGAACTTGATGATATACAACAGAAAGAAGCATTGTATTTTCTTATTCATTTTATTGGTGATATTCATCAACCGTTACATTCAAGTTTTAGCAGTGATCGCGGAGGAAATAGTGTTCGAGGTTGAGTATATTAAATTAAAAATTTTGAAAGAAACAAAAAGACAATTCATTTTATTTAGGTTATTTTATGAATGAAACATCTCGAACAAATCTTCATACTCTATGGGATGTTGGTTTAATAATGATGCGTCTTCGACGAGATTTTCAACAGAATATTTCTCATTATTATGAACATATTTATCAATTAATGCTTAATCAATCATCATTTGATGATAATGACAATAATGTTGAACAATGGATAAAAGAAAATATAAATTTAGTTTGTGGACAAATTTATTTCGATGAACATAATGCAATAATGAATGCATCAGCTAATTTTACTTTAGGAGAAATTTATTATCAAAAATTTATACCAATTATTGAACAACGTCTAGCTTATGGTGGTCGTCGACTTGCTACACTTCTTAATCAATTAGGCAAAAATCGCCTACAAAAACCATCGAATAATAAAGATAAACTTTGTTCTAATAGTGTTTTTCTTATTATTATACTATGTGTAGAAAGTATATTAGCTATTGCTGTGCATGCTATCGTATGAATTCGATGCAAGAATCAATTATTTATTGATTTTTTTCTGAGAAATGAACTTTTATTTATAATTTATAATGATTAAATGAATATATGATAAATAATGAGTCTCTATTGAAAATAATATTTAAGATATTCATCGTTATTCAACTAACGATAAATTATTTTGCATCTAATCGAATTATTCGAGTGTTAATCCTTAAAAGCCATATGCCATTTTCAATGGATATTGCAGTACTTACTATTGAAGGCTTAAGAATGCTACTCCTCCATTTTTGGGCATGAAAATCAAACTTTTTCTATTTTTTGAAATTTTTGTTATCGCAAAAATCTCTATTTGTTGTACTTTTTATTTACAATATTTCCTCTTTGTGTTTAATCTGCTTGCAGCAATGTGATTTTTAGTATACAATAATGTTAGAGTTGCATGTCAACATGCATGAGACATTGTTGGAAGTCAGTTTGAGATAATTGATTGAATTTATTCGAGATATGATCAATATGACAAAACAGATAATTTTCTACTTCAGACTTATTTTTTAGTAGTATGAGGGTTTTTTTTTGTATATTTAAAGCTATTTGTAATCGTTGGTTGAACAAAATTAATGTCTTCAAAATGGTTTACTTGTAGTTTTGAATACTTTCGTGAGCGATTTCATTTCTTCTTGTTAGTAACAAAGGAGAAGTATAGTCAACAAGAAGTATATTATTCATGCATGTCTGATTATGGGTTCTTTGTAGGTATAAGAAAAAGATATTGTTCGAACGTAGAAAACTATCCCATTGAATTCACAGTAATCGAAATATTTTATTCAATAGGTTCTTAATGTTATATGAAATAAATAAATAGAATTATTTTTGAGAAAAAAAGACTTTTTACAAAAGTTTTAAGGAAAATTATGCATTCATGTCGTTGAGACTAAATGTTCCTTCCAAAAAACATTCTGTATAAGTAAAACAAAAGTTTATCTTTTTTTTAACTATAATATGATCATACTGAGTGTCTAGAATCTCTATTTTTTCTCATCATCAAAAAATAAAACCCTCGGCTTGTCACTCATCTTATGAGAATCATGCTATGTTTTATTCTCTCGAATTCATATAATAGTCTATTTGATTTCAATTTGAATTTTAAAAAAATAGGACTATTATATGACCTTTTAAATTATTATTCACGTTAAATATTTATAGACTTCCTTTTTTTTTTCGGTTTTTAAGTCTAGGAAATCTAGGGAATTTTTTGGAATCATTCATTACTATAAATATCTACGGGTTGCTTAGACCTAACCACCATGGAAATGAAGAAATCTATGAGATATGAATCTGTTGTTTGGGGATACACTTTTATGTATAATAAAATCTAGTGCTCTACATGATATAGCTTTTTAATTACGATCCGTGACCTTGAGTCATGGAAATTAGTTCCAGTTTGTGAGGGTCTCTTGATATAAACTATATGTGTAATTGACGAGGGTTCAATTTATCAATTCTATGAGTAAAACTCGACGAGAATGTGTTGAAACGAAAGAAAAGAAAAGAAAATATATTTAAGGAAGCGAATAATTGCTAATTCAGCTGCAACTCGAAAAATAAATCTAATATAATTAATTTCCAACAAAAATATTCCTATTAATCTGTCGAAAGAAGACGAGAACAATCATATATCTCAAGTTTGATTTTACTTTACCATTATTACTGTTCAAAATATAAATTACGATGTGTTGCGTATGATTTCTGTACGTCACTAATTGCATATCAACATAATTGCAGATAATGGATCTATACAAAAAACAAACGCGATTATGTGTTTTGTAAAACATCTAATTAGTTAACCGAAATACAGGATGTCTGACTATTTTAACAACTGTGATTCTTCGGGATCAAAATTCAGTTACGAACTTTTAAGCAAAATCCGCAATGATCACAACTGGGATCATGGCATTCACATCCTACCTTAGTTAGATCTTCTTCTATTTAGTTATGAGTCAATAAATAACTAAGCTTTCTAGACCCATTCTAGTGAACGTACTGAGTTCAAGATATCTTGCTAGCAGTATGTCATAAGAATCTTTCGGTAATCTAAGAGTTTTCAGTCCTTGACTTCAAAATGTTGTTGAAAAACTTTTCATAGAGTCCTACAGAAATTGAGCAGATATCTAGTAAGTACTCATGTACTGAGACAATTCTCAGCAAGAAACTCAAAAAGGATATCTTGCTAACAGCTGACCCAATACACATGTATCTGGAACTCATGCGGAAACGTTTCTAAGTGTCGAATCGCTGTTGAGTCAGGACTATGTGCATCATGTAGAATCTAATGAGTTATGAATACCCTAAAAAGTGTTCGGGCTAATGGCTTCTTACTCCTGAAATACGATAAAGTCTGAGATTTCATGATTGCTTCTATCTTCAAATAAGACTATGAGAAAATCATTTGTTTCATCCCGCTAATATGCAACGACCAATTTCAATGTTCTTATCTAAGACCAGCTGCAATCAAAAATTCTGAAATTTTCACAATAAGCTGTTCTTGTTAAGACATGTCTCTATGCAAAGTTTCAAGTCGAAATTTAAAACTCAGTTTTCTTGCGTTTCTGAGGGGGACGACGGCATTCTACTAAGAAATAGAACATCTCAACAGCAATCAGCTATTAGATCGAACTCCTTTTAGAGCATTCATAGTTCATAAGAACTTATATGATGCGCATAGTCCCGACTCAAAAGCGATTTAAGCCCCACCTCATCTCCTACTCAAAAATCTATTTCTGCTCCAGAACAACTAATTCGACTAACACTTTCACGTAGTATGTATCCGGGTGGCAATAAAAATTTCAACCCAAAATTTTGACCTGTTCAAGAGTTACTATAGAATTTAGGGTATAAACTAAAATATGCTCCCGTATTTTAGGGATTTCTCCTCTAACTTTCATGACACAGACTTCAAATTCGTTGTGTCAAAATGTAGCAAAGACCTGTTCTTATAACTTAACAAAGTTCGATATTTCAAAACTTTTTTCTTTACTTCTGATAACAGCTTCTTTCAGAAAAATTACAAGTACCCTTATTGAGAAAGATTTACTTTTTCCACAAAGTAGGTCAAATATTAAAAAAATTCGGCTTTGTTAAATAGTAGAGTACAATTTAGTATCTTCTTGAACTTTCTAGCGTATACAGTAGTCGGGGAATCTTTAAAATAAGAACAATAAAAAATGGGAAAATCCATTTCGAGAAAAATACAAAATGGATTTTAACGTTTAAAATCAATGCGTTGTTTGTCATGAAGTCCCATAAGAAAATTGACTTGAGGAGTCTGCGAGTGACGATAGAAATTATTTGCCTATGCATACTAGCCGTATTCTTTATGTTACGAATCTATAAAGAAGCTCAGAAAAGTTTTAACAACTCAAGCTCACCAATCATTCTAGAAAAATTTCTGTAAAAATCGCAGATACCATAGTTAAACAAGTGAATCATAATGCATTCGAAAGTAATAAACTTGGATTATTCAACTATGTATGAAATTCGAAAATGGCTATACTGGACAAAAATTGAAATTTTTGAGTAGGGGGAAGGGAGAAGCTCAATACTTAGAAACGTCCTTTCGTGAGTACATCCACTAGGGCACTAAATATCCATTGTTTTCCAAAATTCAGTTTGAAATGAAAAACATCATAGATTTTCTATAATGAGTTTATGGATAGTCTATTGAGATATATAATGGCTACGATTTCATTGGTCAGTAAAAAGGATGAAATGGTCAGTACAAGAATATATAAATAATCAGTAGAAAAATTGAATAGCCAGTATATTATATATAATTAGCAGCAAAAAATACAAATTTGGTCAGTGAAAAACATAGATTTTATCAGTAGAAATTTTCTTTTATTTGTATAAAAACATAGTTTAGTATGAGAAAAATAATTTAAATAAATAAAAAAATACAGAAGAAATGACAAATAGAACATTAAACGGAATTGTTATACCATCACAATATAATTAATGTATGTACTTTTTTACATTTTCATCACTACCACGAAATTTATCATCATGATGATCATGTTCAACTTCAATTTTAGAAACAATATCTTTATCACTGTCTGCGTAATATAGCAGATAAAATACTTCCTTCATGTTGAGACCCATGACGTTTAGCTTTGTTTGGATCTATAATAAACTATTCTTCTAATTTCTACATAGTTCGTAATAGTGTTTTGACTATGCATTTGCTATTAATGTTTCTGATTTGCCAGCATTATCAAATGTAGTTTCATTAACTCAATATTTTGATTTCTTTTTTTTTTTGAAGGTCTTTCATTTTCATTTATATCATAATTTTTCTTCTACAATGTCTTCATCTGATACATAACTTGCATATTGAGCAAGTTGTACCACGTCATTGTGAAGTTATTCCTCTCGGACACCTTGTTGCTTTTATTGGGTTGGGTAGTAACCAAAGATAATTGCATCCGATAAACACATATATTTTATTGCAAACAATTAGCAACTCTATATAGGTTCTGAGCAATTATCCTAGATATGGTAATATCCGAGTGTGTTTAAAGGAAAATACCTGAGAGAGAACAGAGAGGGAGAAAATCTATCATTAAACAGCAAAGGGAAATACATATGACAGAATGGAAATATACGTGTGATGTAATGAAAAGAGGAAAGTCGCAACATCGAAGAGATTGTTCAAAAGTGGCAGATGAAAACAGCTGATTCGAATACTTCTTAAATGTACATATTATTTGTTCTACATGATACAAGAAAAAAAAAATCCCACTATAATGTATTTCAATTTCTATATTTACCATTTAATTTATTTGACTGTTAGTAAATTTTATTTACTGACCTTTTAATTTATTAATAAACTTAATTTATTACTAAGTGACCATTCAATTTACTGATTTTATAGTTTTTTAACTTACGGACCATATCATTTATTTTACTGACCAAATATTTTGTTCCCATATATAATTTGATATAGATAAGCATAAGACATTCGATAAA